AATCCTGCTCTTTGTCCTTACTGTAAATGTTTCCGCCTCGCTCTTATGGTCTCCTCCTCTTCTGCAACCCTTCACCCCTCTATGTTCAGACGTGTAGTTGACCTTGCTTTAACCTGCAGGGCTTTTCAAAAGGTCATTTGCCTTGTTACTGAATGTCACTCAACTGGATCACAATGTCTCAAGCTCCTTATTGAGCTCAAATAGAGGGTGGACGCTGATTTGAGCTCGTTGTCGTCCGCCTGAACAAGAAGTCAGAACCAGACACTTCTCTTTTTATGTATTGAGTGTTTATTATTAATAAACAGAAAGTGTAATTCCAGTATTTTTGTTAACCTGGGTCTTATCAGCACACACGGTACAGGGGGTGAATTTTATGAGGGATAAGAAAAGTTGACTGAGAGTTAATTCAGCATTTACAATATGACAACTGCCACCAATGGGCTTCAAAAGTCCGCTTCAGAGACCAATAGGTGACGTCACTGAGATTACATTCATATATATATATATATATATATATATATACAGTCTGCTGTCATCCCAGACTTTCTCCTCCCAACATGTCCTGTCTTGCTTCAGCTGTGCCATCAAAGAAAGGAAGAAGAAACAATGAAAACGACTACATGTCATTTATTAGTGAACACCTTTTTGTAACTTTCAGTATCATAAGGAAAAGCTGACGTTTACTCTGTCAAATCCTTATATATAAATATATATACATATAGTGAATAGTGTGTTATTTTAGACTTGATGGTCCATGGGTAGTGATAAACGATAAACGTTTAGCAACCCTAACTCGCAAAAACACTTAACCCAGCGTGCCTGTGACCACGTTTCAGGCTACCTGGTAGAATATGCTTGTCTCAAAGATTAAACCATGCAAGTCTAAGTACACTCGGCCAGTACAGTGAAACTGTGAATGACTCATTGAATCAATTATCTTAGAAAAAGATCTTTTGAAAACAAAAACAGGCAATAAATCCCTCTCTTCAAAGCCGACAGATCTCATTGACAAAAAAAAAAATGCAAATTTACTTTTTTGTTGTTTGTCTAACACTTCTTTGATCGTTTTTTTTTTCATGTTTGTGCTATTATGTCATTTCCAGATAAATGGTGCTCATGATGTACTGAATAGAGTTTGTCCTTTTTTGTTTTTAATAACTCCGTCATGTTGCAAAGTACTTACTTAATGGAATGGAAGTTATGGCCAAAACAGGTAATTACCTTTTTCTCTCAGAGTACATTTTTTAAAAGTGTGTGTGTGTGTGTGTGTGTGTGTGTGTGTGTGTGTGTGTGTGTGTGTGTGTGTGTGTGTGTGTGTGTGTGTGTGTAAAGTATATGAGCAGATGAGTGGAGTGTGTAATTACAGGGAAAACAAAGCAGTGCATCCTGATGCATTCTAAAGAAGACCTTAGTGAACATCCCTCTTTGTTTTGTTTTTTTTCTACTCGTGAAATTATGCACCCACCAGCGCGTATAATTAGAAATCAATTAAACTCTATATCACACATCCAGCTAAATTACTCATAACAATTCTGCAGTACATTATCGAAGTGTATTCACTTAAGAGTGAAATATTAGTTGGCTTGGAGATGATGATTAAATGTCCAGTTCATTCAGTTAAGCTTTCCTTACAGTTGGTTGTGATACAAAGACACACACCAGTGTTCATGTAAATGTCTTCTTACTGCGGGAACAGATGCATTGTAATGGTTATCAAACTTACAGCTTTGGAAAGGTTTGATCCCACGTTATACAACATTATGAGATCATGTCTTTTCTTTTGCTGCCTGGTAGGAAACAGGTCCAACACATTTTGTACACTTTTGTTTACTGTTTTTTTTTTAAAACTCTTCAAAAAAACACTTTCAGGTTGATCTGACTCTCTTGAAATCTGTGCATGTCATTATTGTATGTTCTGGATCCCTTAGAAAACATCTCCAAGTCTGATATGTGTGGCTTTATTGTCTTTTCGTCAATTTGATCACAACTTCTTTTTGTTTTTAATTTCACTTACCTTATCTGTGTTGATGTAACCCAAGATTCAGAGAGGTGCTACATACTGTGAATAAAATGTATTTCTAATATCATTAATGTTAGATGGATTTAAGTCCAGTTCAGTGTTGGGGATAACTTGTTACAAAGTAATCTGTTAGGGTACTCTGGTTACTTTTTTTTGTAGTGTCGGTTCAGCTGATTAAGTAATCTGTAAATAGTTACTTTTTCATGAAGATAATTCTGTACTGACAGAAAATGCTGCATTTCCCCTCTTCCTTTTGTTTCCTCTGCAGTTTCTGTTTCTTGCAGGTAGCTGTGCATGAGCAGGTCAGCTTTCAGACGTTTCAGCAAGAATGTGTATACAGTAGCTAGCTAATTCAGCAAGTAAGATGGCGGAGAGGGAAGCTTATACTTTGAATACGTGGAAATATTCAAATTATTTTGACTTTTTGTTTTATGTTATATTGTGTCGGTCATTCCTGTCTCTGGGCTGCAGAGTTACACATTATGAACTGTAAGAGAGGCTGTGCAATAACGGTAGAGTGGATACATACATTCAATGGTAGATGTACAGTCGGGGTATACGTGCCGTCTGGACCAACAGGCATAGGTTAAGAGCTGCAATGGGGCTTTGATTTTTGTTGATGATTATTTTTTTTTAAGCCTTGTTTTGCTGGACTGTAACCCTAACCTGAACTTCTCTTTGTCATTCCTCTTATGTTGTTTATTCTCTTTGCCCACCCCTCCCCTGCTTAAATTCTGCAAAACATTTTGAATTAACAAACTCTTTGGGTTTTGGTTTAGAAAGAGCAAAGAAAGAAAAAAAAGGTTAAAAGACATAGAAAATCATTTGCATATCCAGATCATGATTTCCCGACATCATGAACCGCGCTCATGCAATGTTAATGCAGGAGTGAATTAGTTCCAGTAGAGTACTTTGTCTGCTGCGTGTGCGTGTGCTCGTGCTCGTGTGTCCTGATATGAATAATGTGAGTGTGTGTGTGTGTGTGTTTGGTTTTTCATTCATTTCAGCCCTCAAATTAAACAACAGCTGCTGGATAGAAATGCAAATGTATCTGCATTTTTATGTGACTGAGTAAGAGGGACGTCCTCGCAGGCTTCCTTCCTCGCTCCTCGAGATTTCCCCCCCGTAATGGTTATTTCTGAGAGCGGAGGAGAGGAGAGCTCATTCACTCGAGTTCATAATGGCCTCTTCTTCAGCCATGTAGGGAAGGATGGGCTTTTTGGGGATTGCTAACACTCTCTCTCTGCCCAGACGTCCGCATTGAACTCTTTTAGCCTCGAACTTTTTTGGGACACAATTGGAAGATGTAGAGATGAAAAGAAACATGCACACAGTACCGTCATAGGTTTTATCATGACCTTAAAAAGCCTTCTTATTAAGCAATTATGAACTCTACTGTATGAGTTTGTATGTTTTGGAGCCAGAAATGGTCCAGAGGCTGGAGCAAGAGAGGAGTGAAGGGTTGGCAAAAGCTACGTTTTCAAAGTTTTACAGTCTAGTTCCCTGGCTAATTAGTTAGCAGGCTGATATTCTAGATATCAAGCATGCTTCCTTTGGAATAAAGATATTTCTGTGTTGGGAGCCGACCTAAGTTATCTTTTTCCAAACAAGACACATGCACAAAACTCTGCAAGCAATACCTACCTGTCACTGAAAGTTGTGTCCCAAAATATGCGCAACATCAAATATAAATTAAGAACTAATTTTGCATAGCTGCAAATTAATTTTTTGTATTGGCTATAAAAATGTTATATTAAAGTTGACCCATTGTGCTGTTGTCCATTTTAAAACTCACATAAAGTGTTACAATGAAAGATGCCTACAATAAAAGAGAAGCTTCAGATCATGAGGTAACTGAATGTCAGAGTAATCCCAGGATGAGTCTGCAGAGGGCGCTAAACGGCTTGTTCTGCACATCGCACAATAGTTCCCCGATATGAAACCAAGAATTTCATGGGATGGCTTCAAGCCTCGACGTAAGCCGTTGAAACCGCTCATGTAGGCTCTCTTCTCCAAGCAAGACCACCCCTGGCGGCCCTGGCAGCCGTGCAGCGTTCTGGCCCCTGGGAAGGCTTCCACAGTGCTGGCCAATCAGAAGAAAAGTGGGCACGTGGGGAGGGAGGCTTTAAAGAGACAACAGTTGAAATGACCGTTTCAGGCAGAGGCTGAAATTAGGGTTTTTACATACACCATGCAGTATCAGATAAATAAGTCGTTTTTCATGCAAAGCTAGTCTAGGTTTCAGAAACTAACAACATGAAAGGTGATTATGATTAAAATATGGAAGCTTTAAGCTGCAGAGTTGAGCATTTCAAAGCGCCTATGAGTAACTTTTCATTTGTGTCGACTTTGGCGCTCGATATAGATATGCAAAACATAAGAAAAAAAAAGATTTTACCGATCAAAAGGCAGTATGAACGTTTTTATTTTGGATTTTTTTTTTAATTGTTATTAACAATAACTACTGTATGTTCAAAAAAATCAGTCTTGTTGCAGATGGTCTTATTTAATAATAATAATAATAATAATAATAATAATGCATTTAATTTGTAACGCACTTTACAGTTTTGCAAAAAAATCTCAAAGTGCTACAGGAAAAAAAAAAAAAAAAAAAAAATATTTTCTTGATTTCAAAAAGAGGCGGCACCTATAATGTCAGTCTGTTTTGTAACCAGCTATCAAACTCCTCACAGGAACTTGAACTAGGGGGTCCAATTGATGGATTTAAGTGACACATCCAGATTAGTCAGTTCAATTAACTGTATCCTCTTGTATTGTCTTCTGTTGCCTCGGACTCTGGCATTAGAGTAGTAGCTACTCTGTTGGTTTTACAGTTGTCACTGCAGATCCAGCAGCAGTCCTCCTCATCCCTAAACTTCTTCACTCCTCCTCCTTTTTGTTCTCATCATCTCAGCAGTCTGTGACTCCTACCAACCCCTCCTGCATCACTGCTGCTCTGTATTACACGGAAATGCTCACTGTTGTCTGTAGGATACAGGCCTATTGATTTCAGTCTGCCTATTACTCCTGCTATTCCCTCCCTCCCCCTTCCTCCCCTCCTCTCCTCTCCCATCGCACTCACGCTTCCCACCTCCCCTCCTTCTCTCTCTCGTCTCTTCCTTGGACTGCAGCAGAGAAAAACCGCTGCATCGCACACAAGACAAGAAAGAAGAAATCTCCGGCGCGATGCTTTTCCTCCCTGTTGCTGTTTAAAAAAGAGGCAGAGAGGAGACTCACCGGAGGCTCGGCATGATGCACCCATGGTTCCTCTCAGTACGCTGTAAGTGTTTCTTTTTTTCTCTGTTTAAACTAGAACTTCATCATCTCCCTCCGCACTCCGCTGTAGTGAAACATAGATCTCATCTTTTAAGATCATTTAAAATGCAAAATGGAAACTGCAGATAAGGGCGGATTTAAAAATGTTTTTTTTATTATTATTTTGAAAATTATGAATGGGCGCGTGATTGACGCAAGAGTTTGGGAACTTTTTTAAGAGTTTGTCAGAATGAGCATCAGAAAGTGAGTTTACTACATACCACCATGAATGTTATTTGATCAAAATATGTTGGTGCTATTAGGTCAGCGACCATTTGAAGAACCGCACCTGACTGATTTTCTTTTTTTGTTTCATATCAATTTGGCAAAATGTTACAAATTGAGAAAAAATACAAAAAAATGCGAGTTTTTCTAAGCAATTTTTTTTTTGTTTTTTACTTTCTACATCTTCCGTGTGTGAGCTGGTCGTGGTGACTGTGTTAGAGGTTGTTACCATCCGGTCGTGCTCCAAAAAAAAATCGTGTTTAAAATGAGTTGGCACACGCATAGAAGCAGCAGTGGAGTGAATCTGCAGTGAGCAGAGAGCGCGCACGCACACGCACACGCACACGCGCACACACACACACACACACACACACACACACACACACACACACACACACAGATCCATCCATTACTCCGGGGCTTTAATGCACGGTGCAGCGAGGAGAGTCATGTAAACTGTACCGATTGATTCTCAGTCTGCAGGACAGCCCCGAAATCTAATTATGGGACGCGACTTGCGTCAAAAGACTCCGCGGTGATTGATGCTCCTTCCTGTACGTGGTCTGTGGGCTGAGCTCTGAAGCTGCAGTAGTGGAACAAAGGGGAGGAGGAGGAGGGGAATTGACGGATGAGTTTTTGCATATAGCTGTCCCATGACGCTGAATGTAAAGTTTGATTGGATCAAACATGCAGAAATTCTAAACCAGGTGTTTGCTTGAAGGCAGTTCTCCGACCGGATAAAAGGTTCACTTTGAATAGTCAGTAAATGAATGTTTGCCTCAGGGCGCTTGTATACCTCAGTGTTTGCTTTTAGCTCAGCATGATGACAATCAAAGCGTCTATTCGCTCTATTTAACCTTTTCTTATTGTGTGTTATCTCTGCTTCATCTATATTTCACTGGAAACTGAACACAAGAGAGGGGTTTTGGGGCTTGCATGGGTCTGCACCACATGTCACAAAGGGGGCCAGGAGGCAATCTGTCAGCCAATCAGTAGCCTGGAAAGAAAGGCGAGGGGAACATCGTCAAGCTGTTTCAACTGTACTAAAACTCTGTCTTCGGCTTTTTGCTGGTCAAAATTGAAAGAAAACGCAAAGCAGCAAAGACTTTTGTTAAGTTTTTTTTTTTTTTTAACTTTCCTGCCTGGATTAAAGGGGAGGTGGAGATTGTTACCTGTGGCACATCAGGTGCTCAAGAGAGCCGCAACGTTTACAGGTTTTGACGGAACATTAAGTCATCAAGATCGAGCACAAAGTTCATGGAAGGACGTCATTGGATGCTAATTTTCCAGTGACCATCTAAGCAGTGGCGTAGCCAAACTGGTTGGACTGGGCGACTTCTGCAGGATGGCCGGAAGTGTTAGGAACGCACACATTCAAAAAGCATTTGCTTCCTGTCTTCAGTGTGAGCGAAGGAAACCACTTTTTACAATCTCTCACTTTCTCTGTTATCCACCTACCACACACACACACACACACAGACACACACACACACACACACACAAATACTTTCCATCAAATTGCAGTTTGGGCATCCACACCGGGACCCCCCACAGCTGTTGGCCGGACTCCAGCAGTCCCTCACAGCCATCATTATTTACAGGCAATCAGGCAGCTGTGTGTGTGTGTGTGTGTGTGTGTTAGTTTTTTGCAGCAGCACATTTGAGAATTCATGAATTTATGTTTCTGCTCCTCGTTTATGTTCGGGGTATCTCTGAGCTCTAAGGCATGATGCTGCTTTATAATGTACTGCGTCTTCATTACTTTAATCTAAACCCCCTGAATCCTCTACTCCCCCCCACCCCCCCCCCCCCCTGCAGTCGTACTTCTTCTTCTCCAGTCTCTTGGGCTGCACGTTTTAAGTGCTCGTTCATTAGCCATTAGTTTTTTTTTCTTTTTCTTTAGAAAAGCACAGAACAAGTTTCCAATGCCTTAAAATGTTTTGTTTTTTTAATCTTTTGGAGGCTGATTTTTAGTTTATTCTAATTTATTTATTTATTTAACAGGGATACATCCACTGAACATTGCTTCATATGTAAAATACAAAGTAGATGCCATGAATACAAGTTTGTAGCAATCGCTAATTTGCTTTTAGGTTTATAACAGAAGCATTGGACTTAAAGAAATACAGAAACATTATTGTACAAAATAAATGCATCATAAAAGTTAGCTTGCTTAATCCCCCTTCCACTTTATGCTTATACTGTATTCTACTTTGACTTTATATAAAGGTGGACAACTCACTCCAGTTGTTCAAAAATGAAGCCAAAATACTCCCAATGACAATTGCTGACATATTGGGCTGGTGATGTAATTCGGAGCCAGATATGCACAGTCAATTTTTTGGACTTCCCGCCGCTTTAGCTAACCAAAACACACGTTTAGTTTAGAGATAAAATGACAAAGCTTCCTCAGTCGAGGACAGTCCACAACATGACAGATTGTTGTGTCCGTTTGGAGCTGACTCTAAGGTTTCTGGAAAGTTCAATAACTCTTGTGTTAGTGTTAATTGTGTTTCTCTCTCTGTTGCTCTGCTACTCTGACAGCTTCTTTCACCTTCTTTGTCCCTCTCTGAATAAGGTACACTGTACTGCGAAAGTGTTCTCTGTTCTTGGCACAAATACGTCAACAGCCGCAGAAGAAGTAGAGGCTATTTCAACCTTTGCTTGTTTTTGCAAACTAGCAGCACAGGAGGACAAAATGAAAAGAATGCATTTTACAGTCTTGCAGCTGACGCAGATACTCAGCTGTATTAAGCCTAGCCAGAGAGTAGTAATACAGCAGAGCGAGGCGAGGCCAGGCTTGGATCTGCACGTACGGGATGCATCCTGGTGCATTTTGACACTGCAGGCATCGCCATGATTGGAGAAAGAACTCTGCGTTTTTGGTCACATTGCTAAACTCATACCTTGCCAATCGATCTGTCTAATGTCTAGATAAAAAAATATCTCAGTAGACGTAATTGAAGCCACATTCACCCAGACAAGTCCAGATAAACATCTTATTTCAGGACACTACACGAGGAAACAAAGCCTGAATTGTTTGTAAGATGTTTAAATAAATGCCAGTGCAGCAATCAATATTAACTTTATAACTAGAAATGTGACAAATACACTTGCTAAGATGTGAGTTTTGAGTGCTGAAGTGGTAATTTATAGCTTGTTTTGAATTAATTTCTCATCAAAACTAGGGCTAAGATTCTCTTTAAAGGCTTAATATGTGATTTTTCACACTTAAATATAATAGAAATCAAGTATATCCTCTGAAAATAACTCTGTGAGTCATGACTGTCTACAATGGGTGTAACACCCGAGTCCCACTGTCTGTGATGTTTTCAGAGTTTTCAGAGTCCTATCTTCAGTTTGTTTACATCGGCAGGACGGCCGGCTGACTCCTCCCCTCGTGTATAAAAGTTGTTTAATTGAGGGACTAGAGAAAAGAAGAATAACATACTGTACTCACTGCTTAACTGTGTTTCTAGATCACGCTCATTTCAGGTAAATTTACATGCAGTGTGAAGATACCAGCATAATAAAGATCGCTAGCATTAGCATGCTAACACAACAATGCAGCGCAAGTTGATTTGGTTTCATGCTGGTGCTCAAGGGCGACATCTGCTGGATCAAAAAAAATTGCATATAAAGCCTTTAATATGGCTGTTAGCATGTGCAGCAGCTCTCTTGAGTTGTTCACACAGTATTTCTGAGCTACAGTTGTACCTTTTCTGTATTTTAAAATGTTGGTAACCTGAGAGCATTTTGGAGCTCTCAGTGACCAGAGAAGTAGTAAAAGTGTAAAAAGTAATAATGATGAAAGCTGCAGCAGATCATCTTCTGTGTTCACGTAGCTGAGCTAACCTTTTCACTACAGAGAACAAACTCAGGTCTCCATTGATTAAGAAGTCACGAGCCACAAAGAGGTTACATCCAAGTGTAAAGCTTGCATGCTTTCTTAGGAAGTCCTGCGTTTCTTCTGTCCAAACTCACAACCTGACTTTGTGTAGCATCTGCTGAGCTTGGCGTGTACTTCCATCCACACGATGTGCATTAGCAAACGCTCACTGCAGCCATCTGTGGGCACCGCAGAAAGCCTGCAGGGCTCTGCACACACCGCTTGCATTTACATATTGCCAACCAGTATGTGGTCCCATGCAGATCACAGGATGTTATGCACCTTACTTTCCTTTAAATATTGCTATGCCGCACTTCATGATGAACGTCTAAAAAAGAAAATAAGAATGGAACAACGTGCTGCAGAAAACATTTACTCAATCTCACCGTGCACACTGTGAGAGCGGGCTTCCACTGTTTCAGAGCATGCACCTGCAGAGTGTATGCGTGTGTGTGTGTCCATGCATCTACTGTATATGTGTGTGACTCTCTGAGTGATTAATGAACGTAGCCGGACGGCGTCAGCGGGCCATGACAGCAACGACAGCAAGGAAATCATTTCTTCTCTCTCCGCGGACTGCTGATTCAGAGCTCGCAGGAATTTTTTGCTGATTGCTCAAATCACATCATAAGGGTGCTGTTATAATAACCCCCAATCTGTGCATCGCAGCACAAGGCGCCTTCAAAAAGGAAATAAAAAAACGACCGTAAACGATATTAGGTAAAAGGGCAAGGTTGTGAGTAGCTTTTATGTGTATGTACCCCCAGCATCAGCAGGATATGTTGTGTGAATTTCCCATATAGGTTTTTCTCAACAAAGGGACCGGACATTTGGACCTGACTTTTATGAATTATCTCCGGAGCTCAAAGACTTCTAAATGTCAGCAATAATGACCATTTGCATAAGGAGGAGAGGAGTTAGCCTATCATGAATAATGAAATGTCAACACAAGAGGTATATTTTCATTTTCTGCCCTGCCATTGAGATGATAACTTCGAAATTTTACTCGGTTGAGAGAAGGAAGACAGAAAGAAGGAGGAGAGTGAAGAGATTGGCAGGGATGGAGGAAAAAAAAACACAGATCAAACAGGGATTAAACATAGATCTTTTCTGCCTGTTTTCCACCATTATTCACTTTTTTCCGCTTTAATAAAAAGGGTCTCTCAGCGTTGCAGCACGGTGAGCTGATTGGCTATTTTCTTCCCGGCCATTTGGTGCAAGAAGAGTCTCCGAGCAAATCATGAGGTCTAACACAGAGTTCACCTTTAGTCCCTGCCGTCAAACGCTAAGTTGGAAGAGTTTGCGTTGCTGGAAATGAGTTTCTGGGAAGTTTGCATGGAGGGCTTTGATTTGGTTATGAGAAGAAAAACGTCTACACATAGTAAGCTCTTTGTGCTGTGCTGAATCACTTCCATGATTCAGGCACAACACTGCATACATGCATGTATCCAAACACTGAATTGACAATTGCTGTTCTTCTTCCAATGAGGCTCGTATCTATGGTTTACTATATTTAAAAAGAGAGAGGTGATGAAAACAAGTAAGATCAAATCAATATAACCTCTCAAGCAGCACTGGTTTGAAAAAAAAAAAAAAAACTCTGTCTTGAGAAACTTCTAAAACTACTCACTTTTGCTTTAAACAATCATCGTAGGTAATGATGCAGAGTAAACAACTCATTATTGTCCTGAAGACACAGCATGGGGACATTTTTCTCTCTCTCTTCAGCCTGGTGTTTAGATGCACCCGTGGCCGGCGGCAGTCAGTGTCTCATCATCTGGCCGCGTTTAAAGTTTAGTTAGAACCCCATTTCTTTGCTGCATTGCACCAAAAAAAACTCTTGGGCTGCTTTGTGAGCCTCAGTGCTTACGTCCAGATGAGGGATTCAAACTGATGTTTTATCTAATCCCGCGGAGCAAAGGTGAGTAGAAACACCATACATCAACCTGCCACTGTCTATTTGGGCACTTAACCCAGTCCCAACACCTCAGTGTACGCTTCCACTACAGGGACTGCAGAATAGAATAGTGGGATGAATCTCATGTAGGTCGATGAAATATGGTTTTTGGACCTTTCCATTTGCAGACCCAATCGTGTTAGACTCTATTGGCTGTATTGTATTATCGTGCCACTATAGAAATATAGAAACTTTAAAATTCTAGTACAGAGGTATTTTCTTAAATACTCCTGACTAAGAGTTCGGGATGTGTGTTACATCAGCTTTCATGTTGAATATGTAAATGCCAAACGATAATATTAGAAGACGCAGAGTATATAAGATCAGATTTTTCCAGTGAAATGACCAATAATGATAATGTTACTTCCTGTGTTTTTTGCATTGTCTTGTCAATACCAGTCTAGCTAAAGGGCTTTGGAGTGTAATTCTGTGCACCCAAAGCTTTGCTGGTGTTTCTCCTGCAGCGGTCTCGGGGCCTGCGGGGACCGCTGGCTGCAGTCTGGAAAGACATGACGGCTCGCGCCTGATGTGCTGACAAGTCTTCTGAGAGGCCACAGCGGAGGGAGCCCTGAGGGGAGTCAAGTCATACATGCTGACATGTACTCCCAGGCTAGAAGTATAACCCCAGATATGATAAGCTCTGACAGAAAACATGGTCCCAAAAGCCTAAATTTCCAAGAATGGAATATTAATGAATCCATGAAACAAATACATTACGGCCTGGCAAGAATAGTTTACTTCAGTTCGACTTGACCTGAAACAAAAGTGCAATAAAAGAAGTCTTTGCAGTGTACCACAAACAAATTAAAAGGCCGGACATTATAAGTATACAAAGCAAAATAATGTAGTTACATAACTCACTGCTGACATACTGCTCCCAAAAACAAAACTTGGATTTACTAAATAACAGAAAAGGATGGAGGATATTGCAACAACAACAAAAAGTGCCAGTCTGCATCCATTGAGTCTTTAATTTTTACTACTGAGATGCATAGAACTCCAAGAAATCCATTATGCTTTTATTGATTTTTCACACTCACCCAAAAGTGGGCTGAACACACATACACATCATTTTTTTTAGAGGACTTTATCCAGACTTGTACCTGCCAGCCTCTTTAAAAAAATATCTGCAAGCTGTCGAGGTTAGCTGACATTTGAATGCAGCAGGAAAAAGTCTGAGAAATTCCTACCAAGTGAGTGGGAGTTAGTGGTGTCCTGCGTCCGCTGTGTGACTGGTGTGACTGGTGCAATCATTGTGCACCAAGCTGCCTCATATCTCATTCTCCTCGCCAGCATGTTGTTTTTTCACTTTTTCATTTATACTGTGAATACATCCAATAACACGTAGCGCTGATATCAAACTAACATTGTAGACTCAAAGGTCAAAGTATTCCTGAATTAAAGACTTGGATCTAATGCCTTCTATCTGATGCTTAAGGTCACTGATACGAGCTTTCCGCTCCCACAACTCAGTAAAAGCTTTCATATGGGTCAGAGACGAGGGGGGCCGGAGACGCACTGATGCATTTATCACCTCTTGCAAGCCACTGTGTTTGAGGACCACGAGGTCTAGAGCAGTGTGACGGAGGTAAAGGGGTCATTGTGACCTTTTTCTCAATGCAGAGTCGTTGCAGGCCTTGAGATGTCATTATGGGTGACTCCTGAATGTGCTCCTGTTATTAATGAGGACAGTGATGATGACAAATGCTTGTTTATGTCTAACCGATGGATTTCTACACATCGGGCTTCAAGGTTTTCGAGCCCCCACAGTCCATGATTAGACCTCCTACTGGTTTGTCATCAGCAAACTAATGTGGGGGGGGGAGTTCATCGATAGACTGAGGGCCAATTACTGAAGACAAAGCTGAGAATACTCAAGATGTACAGGATGCTGTTAGAGGTGTGCAGTTGATAATTTGCAAGCTGATGGTTTACAGACTTATCCCTCCTACCAGTAAGGAGCTTTCAATTACATTCAGTTGGTCTAATTTACAATCCTTCTGGATGATCGATTGGTTTGTCTTAAAAAGCAAGCAGCAACCTCCATGTTTGAAAAATGGCGCAAATGGACCAGTGCAAATAATTACAGTTCCTCTAGTGTCCTTGAGGACAGATGGGGCCGGCTGCAAAAGCCAAGGAATCCACATTAGGTACTTTAAACAGCGATAGGTAATGCTGTTTTTTTTATGCTTGTGTATTACTTTGTTTTTGTGTGAGGACCCCCTTGAAAATGAGAGGGGGCGGGGCTATCCTTTATTAAATGCATTTAAAAAAAAACTCTCCACAAACAAATTTCAGCAACATTTATTCGACAGGAGTAAACATGGGCTCAAACATTATTGATCCTAATGGCTTTTTTTTTCACATTGGACAACAACAGTAGTTTCCTGGTTAGAAAAAAAAAGCTTTCTGCTAGATCGCTCTGAAGCCAGCTGTGCAAAAAGAAAATAAAAAAATCATGCTACCATCATGCAATGTGGTCGTACTGACTGACACAGAAATGCTCTTGTGGTTTGCAGACACAATCAACTCCTAATTGATTGACAGATGTGGTTGATGAACTTTTTTGTGTTTATGTTTTGAGCGGCTCTGCTTTGTGTTCATATGTACTGGTATTTGTTTTAAGGTTTACAAAGTTGTTGATTGGATTTGAGCTCATCCTTCCTCTGTGAAGCTGGTGAACCATAATTATGAAATTCATTTTTGGCTGGATTTGTGATTCTTTGATCAATGTTACAATAAAATATCCAAAAAACTGAAGAAACTTGCATTCAGATAATATCCAGCAGCATTGCCCAGCTCATTATCAATGAATACTTTGTGTCATTTTCGTTCTAGTGAAGCTTTTTCTTCTTCAGTAGCAACAGTATTTTGTATCGGCTTCAGAGGGAAGCTTGGCCGACTCAGTGTCCAAATGTTCTTTTTGAAGTTCCTCTCAGTGTGCCAAGAAATCCTGCAGTCAAGTATTTGTGACAGACAGCTTTTACTCCATGCTTTTTTTTTTTTCTGTCCCCGCAGGCTGATGGTCTCTTCTGCTGAGCTCTGACAGGACTGAGGATCTGTCCAATTTGAGATCAACCGTCTCCATTTCAGCAAAGTCTGGCCACTCCCGTTCCCAATGGAACTAGACGTCATTACTTAATCATTACTTTCCTGGCAGCGGAGTGACTTTTCAGCACCAATAAACCGTCTTAAGTCTTGATTTTACTGGGAATAGAAGACCATAAAGAAAGAACATTGGGTAGGTTTGTCGGAGTAAAAGCTCAAGAGGGTTGAGTTAAGAGACTTTTAGTGCCTGATCTCTTTGTGCCAAGATGGATGAAACACAAAACAACAGGACTTCCTTGGCTAAAAGCGCCAAGGACATCGCTAAAGAAGCCAAGAGACATGCCTCCAAAAACTTAAGCAAAGCTGTCGATCGCGCCTCGGACGAATACTCGACTCAACGCAGCTACAACCGCTTCCAGAACGAGGACGAAGACGAGAACAACTACAATTCTTACAATGAGCGAGACGGTCACTACGCCGGCAACGCCGCCAACGACGAGGACGGGGCCTCCAGCGACGCCACGGAAGGCCACGACGACGAAGACGAGATCTACGAGGGGGAGTACCAAGGCGTGCCGGCCTACAGCGACGGGAAGGCGCAGGTGGCTCTGGGCCAGCCGGTTTCCGACAGCCTGAAGAGCCACAAGGAGCTGGAGAACGAGAGGCAGTCGGACGAGGAGGAGCTCGCTCAGCAGTACGAGCTGATCATGCAGGAGTGCGGACACGGCAGGTTCCAGTGGCAGCTGTTCTTCGTGCTCGGCTTGGCGCTCATGTCGGATGGCGTGGAGGTGTTCGTGGTGGGCTTCGTCCTGCCCAGTGCTGAGACGGATATGTGCGTCCCCAACTCTGGAGCTGGATGGCTTGGTAAGTATTTACACGGAGTGATGAAGCATCAACACTCGTTAAAAGTTGTTTGTGCTCTAGAGTAGATCCATTACACACATTACTGTTGGGTTGTCACGATATCAGATTTATAAACTTCAATGCAATTCTAGGCTAATCAAACGATATGGATTCCTGTTTTACCACAGCAGCAACAATAGAAGTCATAGGCGCCCAGTATTAAATCATTTCTTGTTTTTAACAACAGAGAATTGAAAGCAAACATGATTTCTAATTTGCACAAATAGGTTGGCAACTTACCAAAACATTGTATTTGTGCAATTTAGAAAATGCTCTCTGTCTCTCTCTATCTCTCTCTGTCACTCATGGCAACCGTTTTTTTTTTAATTTTTTAAAGCTTTCATCAGCTATCATCGATCATTAAAATAAAGTAGATTGTTTCGTTTCATAAAATCAAAGTATTGAAAATGTTGACATCCTTAAAAATAAGTTTCTCATATGTTGTTAGTGATGATACTTACCAACATCAAACAGGAAATGTACATGAAGTAATGATAAATGCAGAAGCCTTAAGAGAAACTTACCTTGTTGCAGGTATGTAGATTTGCATCTCAGGATGTCCCACCACTACCTTTTCTCTCACAGAAGTGGAAGTAGAAAACCTCCTCTCACCAGTGTTCTTGCTCTATAAAATCATTATTTTGTTATCAGCTACTTTTTCATTTGGGATGGGGTCACAGTTTTCCATTTTTTCCATATGAAAGTTTTTTGTTTTTCTATTTTTTAGAATAACAAGACAATGCCACCTTCCCTTGCACCAATCCTACTCCCTTGACCTTTGAATCAAAAAGACAAATCCACGGTTTCACCAGGGAAATGTCAGTGATGTTGTGTCTGCAATTTGGGTTTGTTCTGTCCTTTAATGAGACTTCAAACCCAACAAAATAATACGTGGAGCAACTTGCCCAACCCATTGGATCACCTTTCATACGGGGAATCTCAGGCTTTAAAGTAAAAAAAACAAGACGGAAATTGCAGAAAAAGCAACAGAGTCCACTTTAAGATGCCATAATGAAAATATTACACCCTGATGATGAGAGAGCAGTTTAACTACGGACATCACAACGGTTGAGTGCATTCAGCCAACAGTCATGCACCGACTGCAGGTAATAAACGACATCACCCCCTCTCCCACTCGCTTGAGATTTCTCATGAATATGTTCTGCTGCATTCTCACATTAGCTCACTCGAACTTCCTGCGGAAAAATATCTACCGGCAGGAGAAACTCCAGATGAAGTCAGAGTGAAAAATTAAGCTGTTTGCCTTCACACACGCGACTCACCCTGAAAACTTCAGTATTTCAGGAGTTTTGTGCAGTTTGAAATGGGCTCAAAATAGACGATATGCATTTTATTAACAGAGCAGATCAGAGATTATCAACATGCTATGGTGCTTTGCAGGACATTTGTAGGACTTGCTAATATCTAGCTACAAGAAGAATTAAGCATCAACCTCTGCAAGATGTTTGTTGCCCATGAACTTCAATTTCGTCATATCCATTCAATAATTTACTTTTAGGAATACACCGACAATCTCAAGAAGCTTTTAGTGTCTTCAAAAAAAGCATCTGATCTGACAGATTCCACTGACAGCAGCAGCTTAATTGTATTACTGCACAGAGTAATTAAAGCAACAATTAAGCACAACAGCAAGTGCTCGTCTTAATAAATTAACTTAATAAAGGAAGCCAGCAAGATATGTTTATTACAGAGAGAAAAGTGCAAGGCATGATCTGAATCAGTGAGGGAACTGACGGAGATTTGGATTCATGGTCATGAAAAGTGCAGCTGTCACCCAGTCGACATCCTGACGCACTTATCGGTGAGTGACAGCGAGAAATCTTGACGTGAAGGTAGATAATGAGGCGCCTGAAATTCATGTGACACTGCTCACAGAAACCAACAATTCAGCTTGAAGTTTTCGAGCCTTGCATGTTGATTGTCCTTTTTTTTTTTAAGCATCGAAAGGAAGCAAAAAAAAATATTTGGTCGAGATATTTGCTCGTTCCTGCTAATGATGTGTGTGTGTGTGTGTGTGTGCTTTGGGACGTGCTGGCCTGTGTGCATGGAGAGTTCTGGTGGGTGACACTAACAGCAGTAATCTTATTGCTCTAGGAGCTCACCAGTGGGTTGTCATGGCACCAGGTATTCGGATCCACGAGTAGGAGGCGTGTTAAGCGAGATGGATCTCTCCCACACGAGGGGAAAGTTGTGCGTTTGTTTGAATGTGTGTTGTGTGTGATTTGTTTGCGCACAAATTAAAAAAAAATGATACTGGCAGTTTTTCTCATTTTACTGTTTCCATGCTCAGTAATAAATTAGAGCATTAGTCACCGCCCATACAAACATGTTGTGTGTCTTCACAGTTTGATTGTGGTTGTATAACATAAAAACTAAATGTTTGGGTTTTTTTGGGGGTGGGGGGGGGCAGGATGGATTATTATTCGTCCATATTTCAGTCGTATTCTGACTCATCTCTCAGCGGGAGACGGCAGGGAGAGAATAGAAAGAATGACTCATTTTAGCAGCTCGCTCTCTCGCTCTCACACAGGATAAATAATGCATGTGTGTATATGCTCACTCGTGGATGTACTTAGAAGAGTAAACCTGACACAGTAGCACTGATTGGTGTTTTTTAAGCACAGATTCTCGGTGAAGGTGAAGTGGTGGATAAGAGTGGACATGTGGCTCCTGAAGTGAGAAATAAAACAACAGGGGAAATGATACAGTGATCATCCTATTCAGTCACAGCACATTCTTATAACCTAATCATTTCAACATAAGGGGCCTAAGTGTAATTATAATTAATGCATAATTACACATAATTAAATTAGAGTCTATGTGCATATTAAAAAGTAAAAAGGGCTGGATTAAACCTCGTACAACCCCACTTCAGAAATACTTAACTATCTCTGCAGACGATCCAAAACTCAGCAGCGCAACTGGTCGTCAATGTACTCAAAAAAGCACACAAGTCACTCCCCTGTTCATATCCGTCTACTGGATCCCAGTTGTGGCTCGCATCAAATTCAAAATAGGGACAAAAACGTCTCCTCCTAACCTCCGGTCTAGTCTTCCTCCCACTACGCTCTGCCAAAAGAAAGCGCCTGGTCCTACCTTCACAACAGAGCCCTAAGACTCCAGAAAGACTTCTTCTCTGAGGTGGACGGAGTTACCAAACTTCAAGTAAAAGCTAAAGACCCAGCTCATTCATGCACACTTATACCCTAAATGAGATTAACAGGATATAGGGAGTGTTAATAAATAAAATGTATTCTTGTGTATGTGCACACAAACGTCTTGACACCCCCTGTTGGACCTCCTCAGTTAAGTCTAGATCCATCTGCTCCTGTTTGACATGATGAAATTCTCGTCTTCCATACATCAGCAGTCCTTTACTTTTGTTATTATTTTGTCTTGTTTTAAATATGAATACATGAATTGAACATGTGGGAATGTCAGTTGATTTTTGATTTTAGAAAGTAAGTGAGTTACCTTCTTCTAAAAGTCGTGTTGATGCAGCTCCTCACTGACGTAATGTTAGGTGTGTGGGGATTTATTTAAAGCTCTTTTATCTGAAATGATCTGTAGAAATGTGTGGAACTATTACAAGTGCTAACAACTTAGAACATTATCGTTAATCATTAAGAATCGTATGCAGAGAAAAGCTTCTGTGTAACGACCAAACTAAAAAGCTAAACTAATAAAATGTTGACTTCGTCTTCTCTCTGGGGATTGTATGAAGTTCTGCTTTCCTCCTTGTTGTGACTAATCACCTTATTTAAGCAGCTTATTCTCCAACCATGTGTTGAACAAACCTAATTTAAGCGAACAAATTTACTGGTTCATTACGCAAATGTTTTAAATATAATGTGTTACCTTTACAATATATCATGAGGGGCGGAGTCAAAGGGGAAAACATTGCAAGGTGGGTCAGTGGTAGAGTCGGTTGTCTCTAAACCGGAAGATCGGGAGTTCGATCCCCAGCTCCTGCAGCCACATGCTCGATGTGTCCTTATCCCCAATTGCTTGCTAAATCGATGGCATGTGAATGTGTAAGAATGGATCGTTTAATACTGATGGACACTACATAGAAACCTCTGTGATCAGTGTGTGAATGTGTAGGTGTGACCTGCGGTGTAAAAGCACTTTGAGTAGTCAGAAGACTAGAAAAGCTATGAGCTCAAGTCCATTTACGAGGGGATTCCAGGTTTGGACAAACCAATTTTTTTTCTAATTTAGGGATGTCACTGCTGCTAAGGGATGGTTGCCAACCCTACGGGTGTTGTATCAGAAGTCACACTCATATTCCCACTCCTACTTGATAATTCTTCACTTTCCTCCAGCTCTCCTTCTTTCATCATCATGCATAAATATCAAAATGTTCTTGGGATACTGTGCTTTTTCCACACACACACACAAAAAAAAGGATTTCCCTGTGATATATGTGCTAAAGGTGAGATGCTATCCAGATTTGGGACCTTCCTGTATTTTTCGCTCTCTGCTCCCGTCCTGTCCTGTGTCCCCCGCCCCCCTCGCCCCCCCTCGCCCCCCTCCCGCTGTAATCCCTCTCTTACACTCTTCTCTGCGACTCATAGCCGTGCAGCCGATCTGGAGATATGTGCCGGAGTTAATCTCTGCAGCATTGTGCTTCACTGCAGTTTAGCCATGGTAGACTGGCTCACGTAGCTCCCCGGAGGAAGGAGACGGAGGGAGGGTGGTGCTTTTATACACCTCCTATAAAAGCCCCCCCCCCCTTCCTCTTTTTTTTTTTTCTTGCACAACATATGGCTTGAATTTGTCTGTGGGTGTTTTTGTGCACCACATATACACTTTTGAGGAGGTTTGGTGAGTTTGCTTGCTGGAGTGACTTTTTTTGCTGCTTTTTGTGTGTGTGTGTGTGTGTGTGTGTGTGTGTGTGTGTGTGTGTGTGTGTGTGTGTGTGTGTGTGTGTGTGTGTG